AGGTCCAGGGTTCCTTTCAGGAACCATGACTCTTCTCTGTCCATGCCTTTCTCTTCCAGTGTCCCCCAGCCCAAGCCTTTAGTGGTACCTCCAGGCCTCTCAGCTCCACATCCACCTCTCTTCCAGCCTTGAAAAGCTCATCTTCACTTTTGATTTGACTTTTAGACTTAGTTATCTAGCAAGGTCTCAAATGTGACCACACTACAATTCCTAGTTCACCCAGCTGCAGATATACCACTCTCTCCCCCTTCTCTGTCTCTGTCTCTGTCTCTGCCTCTGCCTCTGTCTCTGTCTTTTTCTCTCTCATCTTACTATGTAGCCTTGGTTGGCCTAGAACTACTATGTAGACCAGAGTGCCCTCGAACTCACACGGATTCACCTCCCTTTGCCTTTCAAGTGCTGGAATTAAAGATGTGAACCATCATGCCCAGCTCATTCAAAGCTCTTGTATCCCTCATGATATCTTCATGATATGTCACCGACACCCAGCTGTTGAAGGGGACATGTGGCCATCTACTCATGTCAACCGCTTCCTTACCTTCAGACATCAGGAGATTCTGTTGATTGCTGAAAACATAGTCCATTCTATTGGTCTCTTCCCTGCCGCTACTGTTCTGACTACATCACCACTATCTCCTGTATGGCTTCTGCTTTCCAGTCTCATCCCCGGATATCTATCATCCATCAGGTTCGAGGGTTTCTTTTACTATTTATTTTTCAGTTTGAAGAACCAAGCTCAAATCCTCATACATGTTAGGTGAGCCTTCTATGAATGAGTCACAAACTAGGCCCCAGGGTAGTTTTTTTTAATTAATTCATTTAAAAATATATAACAAAATAAAATATAATAAAATAAAACAAAAACTATTACATTGACATTGGACAAGATAAAGAAAAAACAAAAACCCCCAAAGAAGGCAAAAGGATCAGAGACCCACTCATTCCCAGCACACTCAGGGATCCCAGAAAAGGTTAAACTAGAAGCCATACTATACATGCAGAGGAGCTGCTGCCGAGCTGGGCAGGCCTTGTGCATGCTGCCTCAGTCTCTGTGACTTCATACGAGCTTTGCTCAGTTGATTCTGAGGGCTTGTTCTCCCGGTGTCCTCCATCCTCTCTGGCTCTTACACTCTTTCTGCCTCCTCTTCCACTGGGTTCCCTGAGCTCTAAGGAGGGGGATTTGATGGAGACATTCCATTTAGGGCGGAGTGTTCCAAGGTTCCAGGGTAGCTCTTTAAAAATGTGAACTACATGCTGTCTGTCTTCTACTTACAACCCCTTCGTGATTTCCAACACTTCTGAGGGTGAACTGCGCATTCCTCCCACCATCTGTGTAGTCTGGCCTCTAACAAGCATTGGACTTTGCCTTCTCACCATGTTCTTCTCATCAGCAGCTCCTACCTCAGAGCCTTCGCTGCTGCTCACATTGTCCCAGCGTACTTCCACTTCATCATCTGCCGGTCTGTTTCACCCAGGTGATGCTGTTCACTCCCAGTCATCAGCCTTCAGTTCACATGTCAACACCTTAGGAAACGTCTATGTGCTATCCCTTAGTAGGTGTCTCATATCTATCCATTGCATTTCCATCATAGACATGCAAGGATTTTCCTACTTACAGTGTCTTTGGGACCACAAAGAAGACTTGTGGATTTGTGAGCCTTGCTCACTGCCATAACGCCAGAGATGGAGAAGCCCCTGATTCACAGTAAATGAGCTGACTAAATCAATGATTTTATCCTCACTTCATGAGCGTGCATTGGGTATTTTTCTGTGCCACCAGGAATTTTAGAAATTACCATAATTTATTCATTCCCTGGTTTTTGGCCACTTTGGTTTTTTTGTTTTGCTTTATTTTGTCTCATTGTATCAGATACAATTTTCTTTCGCTGAATTTATTTTCCAAAGTACTATTATAACCTGGTCCTGGTTCACAGAGCAGAGCTGCTGGCCTGAGATTCATCACTGCTATGAAATAATAGAAATACAGTGGAAGATTCATAGATATGCTTGTGTAAAGTTACATTTGATGTCTGATAGATCAAGCAATATGCTATCAGGGCATATCTTCTTATGTCTTTTTTATATTTAATTTTTTTAGTGTATTTCACAAACATACTAGCAATCAGACTTGAGATTTTTCTTTGTTTTCTACATTAGGGTCTCATAATCCTTCTGCTTCCACCTTCCACCTGAAGGGATGGCAGGCATCTGGGAGAATGTTTTTAACTGATTTATTTTGCGAAGATTAGTTTATTTTTAGTTTTGTCTATATATGTGGGAGATGGGCTTTGTGCACATGAGTGCAGGTGCCCTTGGAGGTGCCTAGAAAAAGGTATCAGATCCCCTGGAGCTGGAGTAACAGGCAGTTGTGAGTCACCTGAGGGTACTGAGGACATATTTGGGTACTCTGGAAGAACAGTAATTGCTGTTAACCACAGAGACATCTCTCCATCTCCAAAACTGATTTTTACCAAGTTTCATAAGCACCAATCTAAGCTATCTTTCTTTAGAAATAATATGATAGTAATATTTAATTGTTTAAGGAGATTTCAGGTATCTATATATCATATATTAGAAGTAAATTCAATTTTTATCTCACAATAAAGTATGCCAGGTTTATAATAAAGTCATGGTGCATTTAAATACATATTCAACAGACCCTGGGTTTTTAAACTTGGGAGAAAAGTAAAGAAAATATCTTTAGGAGAACAGAAAAACAATAATGACTTGTCTCCTACAAATAATTACCATTTAATGATAAAGACTGTCTGAAAACCTAGAGTCACTTGGATCCAAGTGAATCATCATAACTTGCTGTCTACACAGCAATATTTTTTTCAAGAATTGATCAGTGTTTTAGTTACTGTCCCTATTTCTGTGAAAAAACACCATGGCCAAAAGCAAATTGGGGAGGCAAGAGTTTCTATCCGATTACACATCCCCATAACACTCTGTCACTGAGAGAATTCAGGGCAGGAGTCTGGAAGCAGGACCTGAAGCAGAGACCATGGAAGAAGGCTGCTTACTACATTGCTCCTGATGGTTTCCTCAGGCTGCTTTCTCATAGCACTCAGAATCACAAGCCCTGGGGTGACAGCACCCACAGTGAACTGGGCTCTCCCACATCATTCATCACCCCACAGTGAACCAGGCTCTTCCCCCACCTCAATCATCAATCAGAACAATGCTCCACAGGTCAGTCTAGTGGGGGAATTATCTCAGTTGAGGTTCCCTCTTCCCAAACGACTCTAGCTTGTGTCAGGTTGACATAAAACTGCCCAGCACAGCCTGATAGAGTATGAGTGGAGGGACAACGCAAGCAAAGCTGTGAGAAAATGTCAAGGCTAAGTCACTTAGCCCAGGCCTGCCCATGTTCAATCTCTAGACTTCACCATCACACACCCGGTTCTCATTTTCCTTAAACCTTAAGTAAACTCACTGAAATGGCTACACCACCACCACCACCACCACCACCACCACCACCACCATCACCCACCCACCCCCACCCCCCACCCCACCCCCCGTGGTGGAGCAGTTCATGCTGCGACAATGGGGCACTTTCCTTATTACTTCTTCTCTCAGGAACACGTCCATTCTTCCGTCTCCTTAGGCCAATCCTGAGCTTTCCTCTGTGCTTGGGAACCCTGGTCAGGAAGAGGTGACAAGGACCGTGGAGCTGAGCGTCTCTCCTGTCAGCAATTATCCCGAAGCTCTTCCATGTGACCTAAAGATACTTCACAGAGGCCACCAGAGAGCCACAAGTATAATCACTCTTGGTCACTACCAATTTGGGCTGGATTTGATTCAGTGACTTGAGGTGAAAGGGTGCATATTCAATTACCAGGCCCCCAGCTCCTCAATTAATCAAAGGTTGACATAATCAGCCTATTACAAGTCCTACGGAAAAGATCAGATGGAATCAATATAGCCAACTTTATAGCCATAAAAAGAAATGTGGATAGATATTCCTTATTTAAATACAACAACCAATACTTTGTGTCTTCTAAATGAATCTGGCTAGAATTCATCTTATGTAGGATTTTCTTATGGGAAATTTGGACACAATGACACTCAAACTGAACGTTGAGTGCCTCTGGCTGTCTTGCTGAGAGAAACTCAGATGTTTTTGTGTGTATTGTACCATGTCTCCTGTGACTAAAATTTGGTGTCTATAATTTGTGGAAGGATTTGTCTGGGAAAGTGAACATTATGAAAAAAAAAATGTCACAATCAAGATTTTCCTTGTCATGGTAGCAGGAAGTCCTAAGTGAGAGAAAGAAAGTGTACAGTCTAAAAATCATAAAAGAAGCAACAGTGAGGTTCAACTGCCCGGGACTAGGTAAGTGCTAACAGCTGAGGCAATGCAACATTTCTGATGCTCAGGCATCCTCCATACCAATTTGGAGGAGAATCCTGGAAAGCCGACTAATACAGCCTGTTTTTTTTTTTTTTTTAAAGTAACATTGTCAACACTCATAAAGGCATTTAAAGAGTTCAACATTGAATTTTATGTCTGAAATTCAAGAGTAAAATCAAAGAAAAGAATACATTTGCCTTCGTCTCTGTGTCAGAAGAGAAAAGCCAAGCGCTACCTGCCAAGTAAAATGAGGGTTATTTATATTTTACAAAATAGTCCTGGTTCCTGAGTAAAAGATGTAAAAGAAAGCCCAGGTTCTCTTATTCATTAATGAGCGGAGTTAGAGACTTCTTAGAGACTCTGAAATTCTGTTCTCTGCCGTTGTATTTTGTCACTCCTTTTCTCATGTGTCCCCATTGATCTTACCTTCTTCATTTTTCACATCGGCTGTCAGGCACCACCCCGGGCTGGCCATCAGGAAGCTATCCTGTCAGCAGCATCTTTGAATCCATCTCCAGGGGTGTGGAAACCTTCTATGCCATTTTACCACGGTTGTCCTTGGGAGTGGCAGTTCTTGATTCATGTCTGAGAGGGCTGAAGGGCCGTCTCCAGGCCAACACATGCTATCTCCAATGCTTTGCAGATTGCTCGCTCCTGACCGTCTCTGGTGTGATTGTTAAGGCCCTGAAAAAATGCTGCCTGCCATACTGCCTCCTTGGGCGAGAAGGAACAAGTTGGTCAGACCATGCAATGGAAAAACGCGGTGGACGCCATAATGAACTCCAGGAGGAAGACACAGAAATTATCTTCTCCACCCTTTTGCCTCTCTTCAGTTTCCAGCTCGTACACAAAATGTGCCTGATGCAGGTAAGGACAGCCGACACACACCGGCGGCGACAGAGCAACGTCGTGTATTTTCATCCTGCATCTGTCACTTTTTTTTTTCCGTTGCAGTGGCGAAAGCAACTGGGCTCAGTTTGAGGGGACACTGTCTGCTGCAGTAGGGAAAGACAGTCCCCAGACAGGAAGTGAGGCTGCCTCTAGGAAACCACGAAGCCTCCTCCCAAGACCCACTTCCTCCTGGCTGCAAGACTCCACCTCCTAAAGTTTCCATAACCTTCCCAAACAGCACCACCATCTGGAGACCAAGGGTTCAAACACATGAGACTTTAGGGGAGACATCCCACATTCAAACCACAACACCCCCAGTAGGCACTTTCAAACACTTCCGGAGCCACTGTCTTACTTTCTGAACAATGGTTTTAAGAGCTCAGCAGGATTAAGCTGAAACTCAGTTGAGAAGCCTTTGGGTGGGATTATCTCTGTAGGGATTGCCCATGTCTGGCCAAAGGTGCAGACAGTATCTCAGAGTGCACAGGTTTAGAATCTCAAGACCCAGAGGCAATTTCTGAACTCACTTTAACCAAAGATTTCACCACCCCCCCTTCTCATTCAACCTTTAGAAAGCATCCTGAAGAAGCTGACTGACTTCCATCATAACTAACTCTTAAAATGAGTAAACAGTTCTCTCCCGACTCGCATATTATTCTTCGGGAACCAGTCCTTATGCTGGGAGGTAATCAAAACACTAAGCCCAAGGCATCTTTTGTAGATATATGTAATTTTAAACAAATTAATGTTAACTGTGGTCAAAGACCAAGTTATAAATGGAGCAGAAGGAGATGACTACAAAAGTCTTTGAACAAGCTCAGGACTTTCCTGATGGCTTCCCCAACCCCAATTTAGAGCTTAGAAAGTTAATGCCCGAGTTGTATGTGGCAATCACAGAACAGTAAAGATGGAGTTGAGGGGGGGGGGAGTTTGCCTAACTCCAGCTCCATTTGCTAAAGAGATCTGCACAGAGAAAGTTAAGTGATTTGATGTTGAGAGATAGCCTGTCTCAACAGCAGTGAAGGAGAAAAAACGTGAAGGAGTCAGTGACTCTCAGAACAGCCCTGTGTAGCTGGGCTACACCCGTGCCTGCTCCTATAAACCCAGTGTGAAGATTTCAATGTGAAAAGTTCCCCATAGGCTTGTGTGTTTGAACATTTGGCCCCCGAATAGCTGACAGTGTTTGAGGAGGCAGAGCCTTGCTGGGGGAATTCCATCACTCGGGGTGGACTCTGAGAGTTCATAGCCTCGTTCCATTTTCTGGTTTTTCTCCATTTCTGGTGTGTAGGTCAAACTGTGGTCAGCCAGCTTCCTGCCCCTGCCACCATGCCCAGAGTCTTCCCAATGTTCACAGGCACTCCCTCCGGAGTCCTGAGTTAAAATAAACCTTCTCTTTCTAAAGTAGCTTTTGGTTGTAGTGTTTTACCCCAGTGCAGAAACAGTAAAGAATATACCTAGCAAACTGCTGCCGCCAAGCTGAACTCAGTGTATGAGCTGTTCTTACAATACTTATCATTATTACACAAGCCTAGGTGCATGGTGTGGAAGCAGTTGCAAATATGGCTTGGGGCTCATACAGAGGTCAGAGGACAACAGAAGTTGGTTTTCTTCTTCCACCTTTATGTGGGTTCTGGGGATGGAACAACGATCACCAGATCTGTGTAGCAAGGGCCTCTGTCCTTGGAGCCATTTCTTGGTTCTCGTTTTCATTTTTGTATATAGTGAAAGTTATGATGGCTTTAATATTTTACATCATTGGGAAAAATTCAAAAGAGTAGTCTGTGGTGCTTAAAAATTATATGGAAGCTACATTTCACTGTCTACAAATAAAGTTTTATCAGAAGAGTGCCATGTTCGTTGGTTTGTTAGACCTGTGGCTGCTCATGTCTGAAGGTGGCAGAGCTGAAAAGCTGCCAAAGAACACCCATGTGGACATCGTCATCACCTGATCCCTCACAGAAAGCTTTGCTAACCCCTGGTCCAAACAGTGCACAGGAGCTATGCTGATTAGGAGAGTCCTCCTGATTGTAAGTATCAAAACATGACATAGCAGAAGACTTCTCCGCTTACATGGTCATTGCTAGAAAGGCCTGAGAAAATAATGATGAGTACCGAACTACTAAGCAGTCCATAGCTAGCTGTAAAGCCTTCTGGGCCAAGAGCACAGATTACTAACTCCTTGTCTTCATGGGAAAGCAGCAACTTATATTTCTCTCCACTCAGTTTGAGCCTTTTCTATGAAAGGTTCTGTATTTTGTATTTTGGTATAAGTACAATACATTCTTGTAAATTTGGTTCCAGTCCCTCCCACACGTCTCAGTCCCTTTCCTCTTTCCATCTAGTGCCCATCTACTTTTCTCTCTGTTCTTTCTCTCTCTGTGTGTACACACACACCAGTGAACTATCTTTTTCATGGGTGAGGTGTTATTTATAGGAACATGGGTGGGCTGTACAAGTAAAGAAAAAGTTGGTAAACTAAATTTTAAGGAAATAAATGCCCAGTTAACTGAAGAAAAATTGCATGTATTTATTGATCATTTATCATTTAGCATAGCTTCTTAAAGATGGCTTCCAGATATTTACATTTACTTCATGGGGGAGATGTAGGCCTGCCATGGCCTGTGGGGGGTTGGGACTCAAAGACAACATGCAGAAGTTAGTTCTCACCTGATGCTGAGATCAAACTCAGATTTTCCGGCTCAATGGCATGTGCCCTGACCAGCTGAGCCATCTCACCACCTTGACTTCTGAATGGCTAATTTCATGCTCACAGGAAGTCTGCACAACCACTGTGATTATCATACATCGGAGACTTGGCAGCTAGTGTAATGACTCATGTGGCTAACCACTCTGCGTTAGGGAGGCTGAAACAGGAGGATTGCTGTGGGATATCTCAGCCTGGAATACACAGTGAGTTCAAGGCTAGCCTGCATGCCTGGCTGTACATTGAGACCTTGTTTTTAAAATAAATAAATGTATAAGGTTCCAGTGAATAGAAAGAAAGATTGAGGAGCCTTGAACTTGTTAGTATATGTCAGTATGGTTACCCTAACTCAAGGCTGATATCAAAGCCTATTGATAACTGTTGTTGGAGTTATTTGGCTCTTTTGGGGGGCCTGCCACACAGCTCCCAAATAAATCACACATGGAAGCTTAGTCTTACTTATGAATACCAGCCTTAGCCTGGCTTAGTTTCTAGCCAGCTTTCCTTAACTTAAATTATCCCATCTACCTTTTGCCTCTTGGTTTTTCCTTTTCTATTCCTGTATACCTTCCTTTGTTTCTTACTCCATGGCTTGCTGTGTAGCTAGGTGGCTGGCCCTTGCAGTCCTCCTCCTTCTCTGGCTACTTCTCTCGTTCCCAGATTTCTTCCTCTGTATATTCTCTCTGCCTGCCAACCCCACCTATCCTTCCTTCTGCCTTGCCATTGGCCAGTTCTTTATTAGAGCATCAGGTGTTTTACACAGGCACAGTAACACAGCTTCACAGAGTTAAACAGATGCAACATAAACAAAAGTAACACACCTTAAAATAATATTCCCCAACACATAACACCTCTCTGATGATTCACTAAATACCCTTGATACAAACTATTTAGGTACCAACATTGTATAGAGTGATGTTTTGCTAGAAATTGAAAGAAAATGTTAGAGCATCCTTCTCCAGGTTGGAACTTCCATCAGGACAGGTTAAGACTAGATTTTGCCTCCAGATAAAATAATCACCGGCACAAAGGCAATCAAAGTACCAGGAATAAAACATCTCGGAATTCCATATTTTAAATTTAATAGCAATTATTGACCTTCAGGTCCAAGACATATATTTAAAATATGTTGATATTAAGGCCGACAAGGTTGCCATTTGACATTAGGGCCACTCAAAGGTGAAAATGAATCTCTATTGACAGCAATTACTCCTGAATACTCAGAGGCCTGTGTGAAATAAAAGTATTTAAAATTTTAAAAGGGGGAGGATTTCAGAACTTGAGGCAGAAGCAGAAATGATTTCAAGCTTTCAAGACACCATAGCCTTTTTCTTGGATTAGGCAATATATTAATATGGCTTCACTAAAGATTAATGACACATTTGCAACATTATTAAGTTAACAGGTTTCAGTGTCTGTGATTCATGCCGATAATAACTTTATTCCTATTAACAATAATTCTCATTTGAAATCAGTAACAGAAACTTGCTCTGACACTAGGAGCCGCTCAGTCTTAAACTTATTCAGCTGCCAACACGTTTTAAACCTCACATCCATCGTCCATGTCCCTCAGACTGGGGTTCGTGTGTGTCATAATTTTACGGAAGCAGATCAGAACTAGCTAACACACCCTTCACTCTCGCCGTCTGTCCCCAACCAAAGCAACCCCTGTTTATTATCCCAAGTATCCAAGACTGGGAGATAAACTATCACCAGCCTGTGTTTTATGCAGACAGGGAGAAGCTATATGGAAATGGGTCCAGCCCTCTGTCTGGGAATAGCAAGAGTTACCTTTTATCATCGGTCAGTTTGTTAACAGCGGCACTGACTGTTGACACTGTTTACAAACCCCAGTTTGTACACCTGACTAGGGAGAAGGGTCAGTGAGGAATTCAGTGAGAATCTATGATGCGGAGGTTGGAGCACAGTGGCTCTCCTGGGGTCGTGGGAAGGCAGGCCTCTCCCTTCGGTTCTAGTACTGTATAAGAAGCCGTTTGTCACAGCCATTCCTTGAGGAAGGGGCATGCAGGCCTTTCCTCTGTGCCTCTCAGTGGCTCTCGGTGATGCTGGAGATCAAAGACATCTTATGTGCCACTAATGACTCTTAGAAAGAGTGAAGCAATGCCCATGTCATGTGTAATGTGTCTTGTTTCTGATATCGTGACTCCTCAGAGCTTGGCTTATAGGAAGAGACCAGAGCTGGTGTTACGGGTTTAGTTAGCACAGGGGTTTCCAGGTAGCATGAGGGTTTCCTTAAATATGAAAAGGTTTTTGTGGTCAGTTGAAACTATGAAGTGCAGCAAAGGAAATTTAAAGACTCTGTCATCTTTTGTATTAATACACAGACCTGTTCTGCACAGCTTCTGTCGAGGTTGGCTAGTGTATCAGTCACCTTTCTTTCTTCCTTCCTTTCTTTCTTTCCTTTTTTTAAAGATTCACTTGCTTATTTTATGTGCATTGGTGTAACCATGAGGGTGCTGGGTGGGAATTGACCCTGGGTCCTCTGGAAGAGCAGTCAGTGCTCTTAACCGCTGAGCCACCTCTCCAGCCCCTCAGTCACTTTTCGTTTCGCTGTGATAGAATTCCTGACACAACTCAGTGGAGGAAGGGCTCGTGTTGGCTCCCAGTTAAAGAAGGGGCACAGAGTTATGACAAAGAAGACATTAAACAGTTGGTCACATTGCATCTGCAGTCAGAAAACTTAGACCAGACAGGAAGTGGAGACAGACTATCAAACCTCAAAGCCCACCCCATGTTGTACACTCTCTCCTGTTAGGTTTCCACTCTTTAGGGTGTCACAGCCTCCTAAAATAGCACCTTGCTCTGGGACCAACTGTCCAAGCACATATTCCTTTGGAGGACTGGACATTTCACCTGGAAACCACAACAATTTGCATACCAGAATCATTTTAAAAGTGAGTAAGAGTGCTGAAGAGAGATGGACCAGACATAAAGAACATTTGTTCCTCTTGCAGAGGACCTAGGTTCAACTTTCCCCACCCATGTGGCACCTCACAATCTTCTGTAATTCCAGTTCCAGAGGGATCCAGTGCCCTCTCTGGCCTCTGTCGGTACTGCAGGTACATGGTACACAGACACACACACAGGCAAAGAGCCCATACACATAAAATAAAGTGTTATAAATTAATAAACCATACATAAATAAATAAAGCATTAAATAAAAACAATTAAAAGGAATCCACAAGCACAGAAAAGTTGATCTTATTTCCTTCTTGTTGCTTGACTGAGGCTAGAAACAAAGCCCTTCTGGGAAGCTCACGGAGATAGTACACAGTGAGCAATGTGCCTCCTCATTGTCCCCTCTCAGAAAATATCATTAATAAATGCTAACTATTTTGCTGCCAACCTAGATGTCATTTATAAATTCTATTCTAGGCCCTCCTGTTTGTTTCATCAGACACCCACACTTTCTGGCGCTTTTGCATTAATGTTCATGAAAACTTAGTCAATTTGAGTTTGTATGGTGATATATTATGCACCCCAATATATTGTGTACCCTAATAGTGTACCCTAATAAACTTATCTAGGGATCAAAGGACAGAGCCAGACACGAGATTAGAGAGAAGCCAGACAGTGGTGGTACACATGCCTTTAATCCTATCACTCAGGAGGCAGAGATCTGTCTGGATCTATGTGAGTTCAAGGCCACACTGGGAACAGAGCCAGGCATGATGACACACACCTTTAATCCCAGTACTTGAGATCGCATGTCCTTGCTTGGGAAGAACACAAACCTTTAGTCGCAGGAAGCAGAAAGGTATATAAGGTGTGAGGAAACAGGAACTAGAGGCTTTTTAGCAACAGTTCAGCTGAGATCCATTTAGGTGAGGACTCAGGCTTTCAGTCTGAGGAAATAAGATCACCTGAAGAGTTGGTGAGGTGAGGCTGGCTGTGACTTGTTCTGTTTCTCTGATCTTTCAGATTTTACCCTAATATCTGGCTCTGACTTTTTTTTATTAATAAGACTATTTAACAATTCGTCTTACAAGTTTGAAGGATTTGTGTGACTTGATTCCTTACTTGTGGCCTTGACAGCAAAGTTATGAAGTGAACCAAATGACAAAACAAAGTTCTTGGAATCAGTGACAGTGCCACTGGACTGAACATGGCCTCTGGAATCACAGATCTTTCATCAGCTCATTACTGGGTCTTGAAAAACTAAGGGACATCCATGTCTCTTGTCATAGAGTATGCATGAGGGGGAGACATCTGACAGAGTACCCTCCCTTCAAAGGAAAGCCACTGGCTAACTCGTCTCTTCCTCGAATGCAGATTCCTTCAGGATACTATCTTCAGACCATGAATTCCAACCGGAACTTGGGGGGATCCCCTCTGCCCATTGCACTAATGAATGCCATCAGCATCCTGCCATTATTAATTCTGGCTCCCTTTATGGATTACTGCAGTAACCATCTACTTTCCTCTGAGAGAGACGGACCGCTCCTGTCAGCATACATTAGTAAGTACAACACAGGATTCTGAGAAAATTGTTTGCAAGTTAGAAACAAAAAAGACCCTAGCTACATGCTCTTGAATAGATGCACAGCTTTCAGAAATTTCAAAAATGAATAAATAAATTTATGAGTGGTAGCATCCAGGTCCCTGAATCCTTACCCAGACATCGACGTAACATCTTCAATCCATCCTTTTATGCTTCCTCAGAAGTCACAACCAATATAAAGAGACAGTGAGACCCTGAACACCACTAAGTGGACTTACCTTCAGTAAAGATCCTCAGTCCTAAGATAGTCCCTACTGTGTTCTTAAAGAGAAAAGGTGAATCTCAAAAAAATTAATAGTTTTAATTTCTGAACCAGTAACAAAGTTTATTACAAATGAGTACTGTGAGCATGGAGATAAGGCTCTAACATGCTTGCCTGACATGAATAAAGCCACATGTTCTGTCTCCAGTCCCGAAAGAGAAGATTAGCTCCCTGATTCACAGCCTCTATAGAGGCATTCTTCGGATAGTAAGGGGTAGAGCAATGATTTTCAAAGGGTTTTCAAAGTAGAACAATTTAAGATAGCTTCCCTAGGACACATACATAAGCTGTAAAATAAAATTCATCTGGTTAATGGAGAGAAACCACAGAATCCATTCTGATGGGTATGTCCTTCCAGCCATGTTCAGGAAGGCATTGTCAGAGAGCCACAGGTCAAGGGGACAGTGAAAGAAACACCTAACCTCTCCTGTCTGCACTTGACTTGTTTTAGATTTTTGGAGGGGCACAACCTACATAAACCGTGGGTCACGTTGTTCTGTGAGACTTGGAATCACTTGGCATGCTATGGGTGCCCAGAACACAGCCCTGATACTCAGCAGAGGTGTTACAAACATTGGTGATTATGGGCCACCATTTGCAGGGGACACATTTGTCCTTTGATAGGAAAAAAAGAAAAACCAAACTGGAAACTCCTGGGAAACATTACACAGGGCGAACGAATGTGGTAGTCGATAGCTGAGACATGATTCCTTTGCAAGAGTCAAGGACAGACTGCAGATTTCTTCTTCCTGCTAGTTGACCTGTTCTGTCTCTCCTTAAAGACCAGAGGTCATGGTCTTCTGGCCACACACACTTCTTGCTGTTTCTCTGTGCAGGAGTCGCCGTTTCGTGTGTGTTTCCTGTATTCCTCAAACCCCTGAGTATAATTCTACCAATCAGAGCACAGGGTGTTTGGTTTTGGTTAGAACTCAAGGTGACTAAAATCATCATAGTGACTATGGTCATCCACACAGAGATCTTTAGGACACAAGTTTCCAGAATTTACTTCTCACCAGGTAGGCCTGTCATTATTGTAAATAGCATTTAGCAAAATATAAGTCTTAATTTTCTTACAATCTCTGAGTTTTAAATATGCTTTTTATGTCTGCTAATGAAGAAATCGAAGAAAGCAGTATTATTTAGAGAAGACCCAGGATTCTTTCCTGAACTTTGGAGACACAAATGAAAGTAGACAACCTTGTATGTTTGACTTCTGTGAACTCACTATTGAAACAGAACAGAAGCAACGGACGGCGAGGGGAGAGTCCATTGATGTTACAAAATGTCGAAGAACTTGCCAGTCTTACGCAAGTATCATGAAACTTACAGGCAGAGCTACCAAATTTATGCATGAAAATTTTAAATCTGGCCCACTTTAAGGAAACAGACCAACAACACAGCTACCAGAGCTTAATTAGAAATCCTCCTTAGAATAAAGCATCTTAAGTTCAGTTTAAATTTGATCAACTTTCTCTATGACATATTTGAAATCATGGCTAGTCTGCTAGATATGCTCTCATGAATAAAGGTGGCAGAATTATCTAGTACATCATTTGATGTTGTTGATGAACTAAATTATCTCCCACGAAAATCGGCAACAAGACCTGTTGGGCAGGAGACAAGAAAGCTAGACTCACTTCAAAAGAAATGAAGCTTTGCTCCGCTGGGTATGCAATAGTGAATTCAGTTGTTTCTAAGCCAGACTCCATTCATTCATTCATTTGCATACATGTTCATTCATTTGCATACTTGTTCATTTATTTGCATAATGTTTTGCTATGGGAATATAAAAGTATGATGATATGCGTCTTTTAAACTAGATATTTGGGTAGGTTTTCCATTTTCTGGTTATGATTATGGAAGATTAACAAGTTTCACCAGGACATGAAAGCCAAACCAAGGGTACTTTCTGATACCAATTTACATAATTGAGTGAGTCTAATACTAAAATTTCCTTCCACTTTGAACTCAAATGCCTGAAAATATGAGTGAGGCATATAGGTATATAAATTATGGATGGGCATATATTTATGAGTTCCTAGTTTGAACATGGGCATCATCATGTATATATTATTTTTAGATGCATGATAAATGATAATTTAATATATAAAGCTTATCAAGACAGTGTCATTTAAATTCAGGTTCTTCATTTTGTGGCCATTATACCATTATTATTATTGTTATCATTAGAATTATTAGTATTATTCCATTATTCAACTATATGTGGCTATTAGAGTATAGAAGTTAAATTATCAACATTAACTTGAAATCTTTACTGCTGATTTCAGTTAGCAGTGGAAAGTAAATTAAGTGCCCCTCCACTGGCTACTTTCCTTGAAGGTGTGACTGAGTACCTGACGGCAGCAGCTCATAAAATGAAAGGCCTGTTTTGGTTCATGCCTTGAGGGGATGCAGTCCATTATTATGAGGAAAGGTACCATGAGAGGAGAATGAGGCATCGGGTCACATTGTATCACAAAGAAGCAGGGAGAGGGAATGTTAACAGTCAGCTCAATTTCTTCTTACTCAGCCTGGGACTTCAGCCCATGGATTGGTGTTGCCCACACTAGGGGTGTGTCCTAGTTAGCTTCAACCACCATCTTGGCACAGCCTAGGGCTAAGAGAAGAAGACTCCTTTGAGAAACTGCCTGATCATATTTGGCTTCTGGCATGTCTATAGGGGATTGTCTCGACTACTAATTGGTGTAGGAGGGCTTAGTCCCCTGTGAACAAAAGCATCCTTCGATAGGTGGTCCTGAGTTATACAAAAAAGCTAGCAAGTGGGAGCCTTGAATGAGTCAGCAAGCAACATTTTCCTTGGTTTCTGCTTCAAGTTCCTGCTCCAGTTTCCCACGGTACTAAACTGGGACGTGGAGTATCAGCCAAACAAATCCTTTCCTCCCCCCACACCTGATTGCTTTTGGTCACATTGCTTGTCACAGCAAAATAATGAAACTAGAATAGGGTGGGTCTAGAATATCCCCCACAGACATGCCCAGAGATTTGTATCCAGTAAGATTCTAGGTATTGGAGAGCTGACAGAGAACATTATTCAACAGCTCCTCTTGTTGCTATAGGAAGCAGCTGTTTCATGTGTTGTTCCAAGCCTTATGATATCCAGTTGCTCTGCCTTCAGGAACAGTCATATTCCAGTGAAGTGGGTGATGACGACAATGATAGTGTTTGAGAGGCAGAATCACAGCCCAGACTCCTGGGAGATGGAGAAATCTCACCTAGTTGGTCAAACTTGGAATTTAATAAATCATTTAATTTACCTAGCTCATAATCAATGCAATGAGAAGGATTTCTCATTCACCATATAAACTGCTGAGTTCATCACTAAATAAAACCATGAAGTATGTCAGTCATTAAAAGCACCTCTACAGGCTTTGGTTCAGTCGGGAGAGGGTTTGTCTAGCATGCTTTGATCCTCAGCACATCATAAACCAGGCATGTGGATGCCTGCCTGCAATCCCAGCACTCAAAAGGTGAAGGCAAAAAAAAGGAGTTCAAGGTCATCCTCAGCTACAGAGTGAGTTTGAGGCCAGCCTGGGACACATGAGAGACCATCAAAAAAGAAAAATAAACCTCTACACCTTCCAAACCTATGCCAGGCAAAGGCTTGATGTTCTGATAGTATTTATGAAGATTACATCCCCTCATAAAAAGTCAACCTTAATTTACCAAAATTCTAAAGTTGCTATTATCATTGTGATTCATCCTGTCATAACTAGCCATACTTTGTTTCAGACTTTTATAGTGCAGAATTGTTTATATCATGAGTATTTCTTTCCTTAGCACTGATTACAATCATGTAATGTGGTATTCAGTAGTGAGTGCTGACATAGACTAGTATTAATCTGACTAAAATGAGCCCAATTAAGATTACTAATAAGTGCCATACAAAGCCTGAGAATACAATTCTCTTGGCTTTGAAGTACCATTTAAATCGAAATGCAGACAAAATATATCCTAGTATCTGTAAGATCTACTTTACAATAACCTGAAAATTCTGATTGTGACAGAAAGCCTGTTGTAATACATTTCAAGCAAAGGGTTGACCCCTTTATGCATAACCAGTACCTTCTGCTACTTCACATGATTGGTTGTCACAGGAAGTTCCCATTTGGGTTGGAAAGGAAGTGATGGTTAGCCTAAAACCAAAGCCCTGGCTCAGTCCCGTTGACTGAAAGTAGGGTTCACCCTCTTTTCTCTTCTCTCCCTTCTACTTTCTGTTAGCTTCGTGCTATTACAGTCCTGGACCACCTTGAGCTTGCAATTGACAGCAGCTCCCTGTCTCAACCACCACAGCACTGGTTACAGGCATGGGAGGCTATGCCTGATCGCAATCACTATTTTCTGAGAGGTTTAACTTGAGTTGATGAATTTTCCCAAGAAACACCCTATATGCCCATTATAAAGTATTTAATTGAAAGAACTGTGTAAACAGGTAAAAGAGTCACTTTTGTAGATATCAACTGCAGTAAATACACTTTCTTTTTTTAAGTTTTTTATTCATTTAATATACCAATAACATATCCCTCTCTTTCTTCCCTCCTCCTGCCCTCCTCCAGCCACACACACACACACACACACACACACACACACACACACACACACACACACACACACACAATCTATCCTCCAGTCCCTCCTCTAAAAAGGTAAGGCCTCCAATGGGAAGTCAACAAAGCCTGGTACGTTCAGTTGAGGCAGGTCCAGGCCCCTCCCCCTGCATCAAGGCTGTTCAGGGTGTCCCACCATAGGTAATGGGATCTAAAAAGCCAGTTCAAGTACCAGGGATAGATCCTATACCCACTGCCAGTGGCCCCTTAAACAGACCAAACTATACAACTATCTTGCTTATGCAGAGGGCCTAGTCCAGTCCCATGCAAGCTCTACAGCTGTTGGTCTAAAGTTCACAAGTTCCCAGTAGCTTGGTTCAGTTGTCTCTGTAGGTTTCCCCATCATAATCTTGATGTCTCTTGCTCATGGAATCCCTCTTCCCTCTCTTTGACTGGACTCCTGAAGCTTGGCCTGGTTCATGGTTGTGGATCTCTGCATCTGCTTCCATCACTTACTGGACGAAGGCTCTATGCTGACATTTAGGGTATTCACCAATCTGATTACCAGGGTAGGCCAGCTCAGGCACCCTCTCCACCATTGCTAGTAGTCTAAGCTGGGGTCATCCTTGTGGATTCCTGGGAACTTCCCTAGCACCAGGTTTCTCCCTATCCCCATGATGTCTCCCTCTATTATGGTATCTCTTTCATTGTTCTCCCTCCCCCAGCTCAATCATCCCATTCCCTCATGTTCTCATCCCCCATCCCCTACCCTCTATTGCCCCCTCACCCCCAGTTTACTCAGGACATCTCATTTATTTCCCCTTCCCAGGGCAATCCATGCATCCTCTCAGGGTCCTACTTGTTTTCTAGTTTCTCTGGAGCTGTGGGTTATAGTCTGGTTAGCCTTTGCTTTACATCTAGTATCCACTGATGAGTGAGTACATGCCATGTTTGTCTTTCTGAGTCTGGGTCACCTCATAAGTTTTCTTCTTAGTTGTTCATTTATTTAACAAAGGCACATTGCTATCCTCAGGTCTTTGAGTTAACATAAAGTTGGAATGAAGTTTGGAGTGAAGTAGATGATGGACCTAGTGCACCATCTGAAGCAGTGTTTGATGCCTTACAGAGAGCAATACTTGGATCTGATCGTGTCAAATGCATGATCTGCTCCACATTCAAAACCTGAGAGAGACTAAGTCCCATCTCCTGAAATGAGAACAGTGGTCCAAACAGAAACAATACAGAGATGGAGTGTAGTTCACCCGAACACAGAAGCATGTAACTAAGAACAAAACCAATTAAAATATTTTAAAACACAGGGCAATTTTTGAGAGTTTATTTTTACTTTATGTGTATGGGTATTTTGTTTTATCTGCATGTATGTCTGTGCACCACCTGCATGCAGCACCCTTGGAGGCCAGAAGAGGGTATTAGATGCCCTAGAACAGACAGTTATGAGCTGCCATGTTGGTGCTGGGAATCACATCCCAACCATCTGCAGATCAGTGAGCTCTGTTAAATGCTCTGCTGTCTCTCTAGCCTGATACACTCCATTTCCATAGTGGGAAGTATCTTCCCCAAAGGCAGCAAACACGTGGTAATAAAGTCACTGCCAAGTTCATTTTCTGTTCTGGAAAGCTGCTAAATGAAGGATCGAAGGAAAATGTCCTAACCCCTCAGGAGAAGTTCATAGCTATGGTAGCACGCTGACACACTGGACTCCATACATCAAACTATCCATGAAAAGTCTATAGCCATCCTAATGGATAAGCTTACCTTATTATATACTTTATATTTATTATTACATAACAGTAAAGGAAGGGTTAATTCGAGAACAAATTCCAATTTCTCTTATTTCATTGTGCTCTAATTTTAAAAAGTATTACATAGAGTATAATAATATACATTATGAGAGCTTTGAGACTTTTACGGGCTTGTCTGCAGTCACATAGCAAATATTAAAGCATATATTATTTGATATCTCCTCTGGAAACGTTGTGCTCCATCTTATTAATACAGGTCTACAGGAACTTAAAATTTGTGCATTCTGATCAATGGCACTCTGCTTTGGGTATGCTGTGATCTCACCTCAGTTAAATTGTTTTAATGGAGTAGATTAAATTTAGATTGGAATCAATTTCACTGGCCTAAGGTTGCAGTAGCAAACAAAAATTTAGATCCTTCTTATACAATAAACTCTGTCCCAGGTCATCTAAGTAATGTGTGCTATAATTTAAATGATCTCATCTTCTCTGAAAGTCACATTGAAATTTAATGTCCAATGGGACAGTAGTGGGATGTTTGGACTGCAAGAGGTGCCTGAGCAGTGAATGGGATTCCATGCTCTTAAAAAAGGGCTTAATGAAAGAAGTATGTTCTTTTTGCCCTCTGACTCTACTCTGTGAGGTCACAGCATTCATCTTCTTTGGAGGCACCAACATAGACCAAACATCGGCCTGCACCAAGTGAAGCTGCTGAGCCCTAATCATGGACTTCCCAACCTGTAAAACTGAGAAAATAAATCGCTGTTCTTTATAAATGATCCTATTGCAGGTATTGGTTTCAGCAATGTAAGACGACCTTTTGAAACAATTAATTAAATATGTGCTTTGTCCCAATTTGTGCAGAGAAGGACCCTTGGTATTAAGCTAGATCAGATTGGATGAACTTTTGGTTGGATTGAGCTAGATCAGGTTGAATAGTCTATGATAACGCAGAGCTTCTCAGAGTTTGACATGGATAGGAACCATCTTAGGATGTAGTTTAGTGTAGGTTCTGATTCTGTTGTTGGGTGTATGCCTAAGAGTCTCCACAGCTAACAAGTTCCCAATGACAGCAACATTGCTGGCTGGTCACACAGGGGAATGTCAAGAACAGAAGGGGGCCCAGGACAGCTATCGAAGAGTCCATGAAGATGTGTAGAATGGTAGCAGTGGCCCAGAAAAAAAGGCCACAGTTTGTTATCAAGCCAAAAATAAAATTAAAAACAAACAGCAAATGCTGATTACTAAATAAATGCCTCACTATAGCTCTGGACCAAATCTGGACCCAGATATGTCTGTGGATATGTAAACTATGAGATACTTGCACATATGAATGTTTCAAGTTATTTAATCATAAGAAATGTTAACTTTGAGCCCCAGCTGCATGAAATTACACAACTCCCTCACAGATTGTCATTTTCAATGTGAATTATTAAAAGGTGGTTTAAAAAAATTCCTATTGTTACACACATACTTACTTACATTTTCTTTTTTACCTTTTTCCTTTTGCCTACAGGAACTGTATTTATTACTGACCATTTATAGAAAACCAAAACCACAGACCCTAATCTAACAAATCAGCAGACATACTATAAACTTTCTCAGACAGATTGTAAACCTTCTGACCTATAGACCATCACTTGATGGTCTCCCATCCAAGCACTAACAACCCCTGCTTGACCTCTGAGAGGAGGAGAGGTCAGATGAGATGGGATGGGATGGTCATAGACCAAGTGATGTCAATACTCCAAGTGTGTGTAGTCTTTGTCTAGTTATATAACATGAAAAGCATCTCAGAAGACACTTCCAGAAGTCAAATTCTAAATTAGGTACCTTTCTGTGGTAGGGTTGAACCAGGACCTCACACACACTAAGCAAATATTCTACCACCGGTAAGCTGTGTCTTCAGGATGCAAATTACAATGAGAAATCCTAAGAAATCAACTTGACACTCATTCCTGGTTTTATGACTTGTCCTCCTAATAAGGAAGGCTTTCTAAGATGTTTAAAACTATGTTATTGCATGTTGGTAAACAACCTTTCAACCATTGTGAAGTTGATCTGTGTAAAATCTTTCAATCATGAAAAAAAATCTATTATATCTTCTTTTTTTGCCTCTTATTGAAGATGGATTTTTTTTCCTCACATAATATTTCCTGATTATGGTCCCCCTCCCTCTGTTCCTCCCAGTTTCTCTCCACCTCCCCTCCCATCTGGATAGACTCACTTTCTGATTCTCATTAGAAAACAAACAGGCTTCAAAGGGATAATAAAAAAAATAATGGATTCAGTTCTCAGCTCCAGAAAAAAACAAATAAATAAAAAAAAAAAACAAAAAAAAGCATGATAAGATAAAACAAAAACTATCACAACCGAGTTGGATAAGACAAACAGAAGGAAAGGGCCAGGGGTGTCTGCTCTCTGTGCATCAGAAGGATGTTCCAGAAACATCCCCCAAGTCAAGGAATAAGGAACCTCGCGGCTTGTTAGCATGCTTCCCAGCTAGCTTTTCCTTTTGTCTTCCCCTGCAGTTGCTGGTAACGGTTGTGCCGCCTTGTCTGTGGCAATAGCCGGCTTCCTAGAAATAAACAGAAAACTCGCCCAGGAGCAGTCTCCTCCAGGCAAAGGTTTCTCTGTTTCCTCCCTGGCCTATGGCTCTCTGGTTCCTCAGTATGTGTTGCTTGGAGTGTCTGAAGCCCTGGTCAACCCAGCGGGTGAGTAACGCTGTGAGTGCTTTGAGGGGAGCATGCCCCCATGGCCTGCATTCCCAGCGATGCCTCTAGCAAGCCTGTTTTCACCCTCACTTGAAACAACGTCTCGATTTTCCTCACTCTGCTATCTATAACCAACTATTAATTCTATTAGGGTATAGATAAAGGGACTCGCTAACCTGATTAGAGCCAAGACCATTTGGTCAGACAGAAATGGGCAGAAATAAACCTGGAAGACAATGTACCGAAGCACACTGAGTTAACATCCGTCCTCCACCCTCTGACTTCCCTCCCTCTGACTCAGAGGCATTCACACCCGTACCCTCCCAAAAGTGGGGCATGGACTTACAGAGTATATAAACATGCAAATGAGATGACAATTTGATGCAATTTACCTAATATCTCAATGTCTTCAAATTGAATTACCCTAGATTAAGTGTAATCACCAGTATTTCATAAGACATGTTCAAATTATGTTTATTAAATATCAGAACTTTATAGATTATCTCGATTGCTTATATTGATTAGACTAGCCACTTTATATTTTACCACGAAATTTCGAGAACTTCCTGTAATGTTTTTATGTGTGTGTTTGTGTGCTTGCACACTTATCAAAATAACCTAGCAACCATATCTTGGGTTTTGACCCTCCTCATGGTTCCCTGAAATGTGACTACACATAACTCAACCCATATTACACACTTTAGTAAGAATATTTTACATGATTAACTAAAAAAATATGTATTTATTGCTATTCTCCACATATGAGTATTTTGCCTGCATGTATTGTGCATGCAGTGCCTTTGGAGACCAGAAGAGAGTATCTGATCCCCTAGAACTGGAGTAGAAATGGCTGTGAGCCATGATGTGGGTGAGGGAATCTAACCTGGGTCTTCTAGAGCTGTTAACCATTGAACCACCCCTCCAGTCCCGTAACTGTGTCATATATCCACTGCCCCCTCTTCTCCACAACTTTTGCATAATCATCTTAAATGAAAATTTCCAATCATTTCATTTGTGTCTAAAATCTTCAATGAGTCTATTATAGTCTGAGCTATTTCAAACTTCTTTATGCCTATATTTAATAAATTTATGTCCACACATACAATGTGCACATATATAAAACTGGAGGAATTAATTTAAAAAGTTGAAATAAATTAATGAAATTTTTCTAATGATAGTCACAAACATATTCACATTTCTTCTTGTTCTGTTAAAAACATGTCGTTTATATGTTCCATATGAATCAGTTACTAGATTCTATGATGGGAAGGCCATTGTGTATCACAGCAAAGAGTAAATAAGAAGTGTGAACAAATGCTACCACAGTGGCATTTGTGATCAGCCCATTGCTGTTTGTAGGAACTTCTTGAAAATAGGTAAAATTCTTTGGGTCTCCTGAAGAAGAATGATTACATGGAGGAAATTCCTAACCTGCTGAGCAAAGTGATTTCAACATTTAGAAGCCAAAGAGATCATTAAAACCATGAACTATTAAAAACAGTGGCTCATGCATTGTAATCACTAATCTAACCTTTTAGAATACCTATCAGGAAACTGAGTTCAACTAAGTAAGCTTTTATCTACTATAGGGTCTGTAGACCAGAGACCAGAGACTTTGATTTCATGCCCAGCCTTCTACCTGCTACATGAGGGTCTTTGGGACTCATTTAATCTCTAAGCTTCAACTTTCTGATCTTAAAAATAGAAAGAATAATCATTATTCTTATATCGTAGCATTAGGGGGAATGGGAATGGGAGGTCATTCTTTGAAAACCAACTAGTATAAAACCAAAAAGTATAAATGGGAATGTTGATCTGTAAAATCAAGTAATACCAGGGAAGCGGGGCAGCATGACCATTCAGCTTTCTGATCTTAAACTTGGACTGACCTGAGTTCACATCCTGTTCTGCCACTGACTGCCAGTGCCAAGCAACCCTGGGCTTCTCTCATCATCTAGAGGAGTTATCCCAAGAATCGAGGGAAGTATTTTGTGCAAAGCAAAAAATGCCAACTGTTTTGTACATATACAGTGCTTTGCAATCAACAGCATTGCATGAGTTTATTTTCCTCACTGCTGTTTGCGTGAAATTAGTAGTGCCATACTCGAGACTCGGCACAGCTCCGTGAGTCACAGACAAATTAAACACCTAATGAAGTGAGTAGAACTGCCTTTCTCCCACGAGCCACCTAGGATCCCTTTCTATTCCTTCCTTACATGTTGCCTTCAACCCAACAGCAAGAATTAGAATGTTTGGAAATGTGACCTAGCTCTGGCCACAACTGTTTCATCCAGAGTCTCTGAACTTACACCCCCTCCTTCTCCTGCCACATTAGCCCATTCTTTCTCTCCCTTTTTAATTTCTTTAAATTATTGTTATTTTATTTTATGTGCATGAATGTCTGCCTTTGTGTATGTCTGGGCATTATAACATGTATCTGGTGTCCCTGGAAGCCAGAAGAGGGCATGAGAATCAGATCTCCTTGAACTTAAAAACTGTTGTGCGCTGCTATGTGGATACTAGAATTCTACCCAGTTCCTCTGGAAGAGCAGCCAGTATCCTTAACCACTGAGCCATCTCTCTGGCTCCAAGTCCATTCTCTTAAGAGTAGCTTTGGTAGCCTTTCCTAGACATCCATCCCAGCATCCTGGGCTAACCATTTCCCAGTAGACATAGTAGTAAACAGTCTCGCCCCCCTTACCCTGACTTGGCATCGGTGTAGTGTCCCCACCAAATGTTATAATATCCTGACCCTTTACCCCTCACTACAAGTCTGCATGTTTCTAGGTCATTCAGTGTGATCCTGTTTCCAAGGCCTGTGGGCTGACTTTGTGTTCATAGTACCTTTTCCTTTGTTTTGAAATGATGGCTTCTTTTCACTGAGTTTTCTCAAAAGTCATCCACTCATCTTATTACTCTTATTTGTTACTTCCCATTCTGTCTCTATAACAACCCCCCTCCTCCTACTCCACCTCACACATACACACTGCTTTTTTTTTAATAACACTTACAAAAATCCTGAATTGCCTTCTATACTGTCTGCCTCTTGGCGGAAGAATACATGTTCCCTAAAGCATGAGTTTTTGTGCCTGTGGTTTATCCTCATAGTCCTCTGAGTTCAGTCTTCCATAAATGTGTATATACACACTATGCTATAAACCAATGTATTCTTAATTGAGTAAACACATGAATGACCCGGGCTGTGGTAGTGCACGCCTTTAATCCCAGGACTTGGGAGGCAGAGCCAAGCAGATCTCTGTGAGTTCAAGGCCAGCCTGGTCTACAGAGTGAGATCCAGGACAAGCACCAAAACTACACAGAGAAACCTTGTCTCGAAAAAAAAAAAGACCATGAATGAGGGAAATCAACTATTTTTATGTCCTATGTTGACGACAGTGGACAAGGAGGCATAGTGGCTCACTCCAAAGATATCCAGGGATGTCTTCTGCTCTACAATGACGTGTGGTACACTGGAGATGTGCTACCAGTCCAAGTGGGGAAACAAGGACTTTCAAACCAGGCTTAATTGCAGCAGTATCTTATCAAGCCGTTTATAGACCTCAAAGCTTTGGACTTACCCCCAATAACAAAAACACAAGAAAAAGTCAAGACGAAAATACATCAAAACTGTGTCTTTGGGCAACTTACAGCTTTGTAGGTGTCAAGAGGTAGAGACAAAGTAGGAAAGACAGAAGGTGAGGGGGAGAACAGAGGCAATCAGAGCACAGGGAGAGGCACTTACTAAAACAGGCCAAGGTTAGTTTATAAAGCAGCCAATAAGAGATAGACTGTGTAGTTCCGTCTCTATTTCGGGTGTTTAACTATGGCACTGTGGTACAAACCAAACTGTAGACAATGTATAATACAGGGTATGGCCATACTCTAGTATGACTTTATGCACATGGGTGCTGGCCTGGTCACTTTCCCACCACAGCTGCCCTATCCCTAGGTGGATTAAAGATATAGTGATGACAGGTGTAAATGGATTGAAAATTAAGGTAGCATGGAAGACATCAGAGGTAAATGGACAGAGAAACCAAGAGTTGGTTGAATATAAGGATGGGCTATACGATATTAAAGGTGCTCAGATCTAACTCAAGTGACTCTGTAGACTGAGAGGGTGAGAAGAATTTGTCAATTTTGAGAACAGTGAACATGATTGGCAGGTGACAATACACAAGAGAAGTAGTGGATAATGTGATATCATGAGATTCCAGGCTGACGTCTTCAGGGATAGGACAGAATGGTGCTCTCCAGGTCCAATGGTGGAAGCTCCATTTCTGGGATTATGTCCCTTTTCCATGTTCTAAACTGCTTCTCATCAAACATAATAAACACATTTTCAACTGTTCAAGAACAACTGGAGTAAAAAAGAATTCCAGCAACGAATTCCCCATCACAGGTGCCTTAGGAAGGTGGTTATGTCTCCATATGCTACAGACTCGACCCATGCTGCAAATGGCATCCTCACAAACCGTAGCCTGCTGCTCTCCGGGGGCGCGTTTTCAGCTCTCGTTGGCAAGAAGACCAGTTTTCATAAACACTTTGAAATTTTTTTTGTACTGAGTCTCCATAGTATAGTGGTTATTTTAGAGTAGTGACTGACTTGTTGGTAATATCTGCGCCATAATGGGCTACAAGAATCATCTTGGAGCCTGAATGCACAAGTTGATGATCACTAAAGTTGAACAAGATCAGAACATGCAATTAGGCAACTGAGATTTGGAGATCTGAAGGCTTGAAAAGCTAAGTCCTATAAAAGGGAACTGGAGGCTTTCAAAAAATGACTAAAACGACACCAAAGAAAGATTAACCAGCAGGCAGATAGCTGGCAAAGTGTATTCATGAATTATACACTGCACCAGAAGTTCTAGCAAGAGAAAAGCCTGGGATTAATAATTAAGGAGCAGAGTAATCATGGTCTCATGCATTGTGCTTCTTCCCAGGGAAAGGAACCAGCCCACTTAGTCTTCCTGCCCATTATTTGTCTCACCATATTTATGGTGAGCAGGACTCATAAGCCAAATTTATTGTAACTGGAATCAATTCTTCCCAGAGCCTCTTACATGCATGTGAACCTTCCTGAAAGTACTGGAAGGCTTGACCTCGGGACTCTGTTGGTGATTTCTGCTGTGCAGAAGAGCTGTAGAAGCTGGCCACCAACAGTAGATGCTTTTCTTTGCAGTATGTTATTTACTGCTGTCATTGTCCTCATGCACAGCCAGTGTTTATTCAGCTGAGAGCCTGTGTAGCACTGTGCACTCCTCTGTCAGCCCTTCCAGAGTCTAAAATCAGAGAAGGAAAGAACACCTCTACCCATCTCCAGCCCAGCTCTCAGCAGCTTAACTGGAGTGTAGACAGGGATGCCCCTAAGTAAAGACAAGTGGAGGACATGCAGAAATATAAACCAGAAATGTTGTCCAGTTACAGGAAAGAGCATTAATATGTACTTGTATTGTGTATTAGTAAGTTCATTTAAAGCGCTTGTCATTTAAAGTAAGTACATTTAAAGTTAGGTTTTCTATTGCTGTGAAGAGACACCATGACCACAGCAATTCTTATAAAGGAAAACATTTGGTTGAGGTGGTGGCTTACAGGTTCAGAGGTTTAGTCCATTATCATCACGGCAGGGAGCATGGCGGCTGGGAGTATGGCGGTGTGCAGGCAGGCATGGTGCTAGAGAATTCTTCATCTTGATCCAAAGGCCACAGGAAGGGAACTGAGAGACACTGGGTGTGACACGAGCATATATGGGACTCCAGAGCCCGCCTCCACGGTGACACACTTCCTCCAACAAGGCCACACTCACTCCAACAAAGCCACACTTCCTAATAGTGCCACTCCTCAGTGGGGGTCATTTTCTTTCAAACCACCACAGTGCTGGACAAGAGCTGGCAAGATGGCTCTGCGATGAACATGCTTGTCATCAAGCCTGATGACCAGAGTTCAGTGTTTGGGAGCTATGGGGTAGAAGGAAAGAACTGACCCCAGAAAGTTGTCCTCTGACCTCCCCACAAATGCTATGGCCCCTGTGACCACACATACACATTAATGATAATAATGGAGTTGGGGGACTATGTGGACAGATGCCGAGGTTTTCTAGGAGAAATACAAGTAAGCCAGGTGTGACCAATTCCCAAGAAGCAAGAGAGGCAATAAAAACATGTCTTTATTCTTATAGACAAGACAAGGAAATGTTTAGTGTTTCAAGTTCATCATCTTTTCTTTTTAAAAATAAGTCTTAATATTAATTTACAATCTCATTGTGGAAATTTTTCAAAACACAAAAGAAGAAGAAAAATAGAAACCACATAATTCAACCACCAGAATTAAGGTGGTTCATGTTATTTTATGTATTTATTTATTTATTTGCTGAATGAAAACAATAGGCATTAGTGAGAAGAACTCCATGCATCCGTCTTTCAGCATCAGCAAAGTGTAACTCAGGGTAGAATGTGTCATCTCTGGTCATTTCCATCCTTCTCCCCCTCTGCTATGTGATTTTGAAGCAACCCTCAGATGCCATTCTACAATAAATATCACATGTTTTAACAAGAATAGTTTAACACAGCTGTGCTAGTATGACATAAACATAATCCAGTATACTCACTCTAATCCATTTCTAATTTCAGAAAAGATTACTTCTAGCTAATTTTTCAAGTTTCTTCATGTGTCTCACCTCTTTGCCAGTTAATTGTGTCAGATGGCCAGGGCTTAAGCTATTCCCTCTTTCTGAATACCTCCCCTTTAATGGGATGCTCTAGCTTCCTTTTGGGTTGCTGTGATAAAACACTCTGACCAAAACTAACTTAGGGGATGAAAAGATATCTTTTTTTTTACAGTCCATCCTGAGGGCAATCAGAGCAGTAACTCAAGGCAAGTACTAAAAGGACAGGGACCATAGAGGAATGTTGCCTGCCAGCTCATTCTCTAGCTGGCTTATGCTCGTCAGCTTTCTTACACAGCCTAGAACCACCTGTTAGGGATGGTCCCACCCACAGTGTGCTGAGTCCTCCTATAACAATTAATAATCAAGTGTTTCCCACCCACCAATCTGGTTTAGGGAATTCTTCGGTTGAGGCTCCTCCTCTACAATGACTTTAGCCTGTGCTAAGTTGACAATTTAAGCTAACCAGAACATGGGCAATGTATACACAGGGTTTTGTACAGTGCCTTGCACAGATAGAATAAATACTGTTTAAGTTGGCTAACCTTAACACAAAAACTCACAGTTGGTCAAAGTGAAGCGAACAACAGCAATCAGTCATCTGCTCAGCCACAAATGAGACATCTATATCACACACATCCCAGAGACCACTCCTGAAGCAGATGTGGAGAGAGCATAAGAGCCAGAAGTTGGGTAGGACCAGAGGGAAAGTGTCTTCTAGACATGCAGGACCACTGCACTCATGAATTCACTGCAGCTGGGGTTGCCTGCACAAGACCAAGCCAGTCAACATGACCGCATTGAGTGGGAAGGAATTCATGAGTCTACGTCCCCACCCCTAACTGAGAATGGCTTCTACGGGGTGGAGCCTTAGTCTTCTTTAAAGGTGTGGTTTTTGGTGGGTCAACCATGCTCCAAGGGATGGCTCCACATGCAGAGATGTGGGTCACACAAACTGGAGTCCATGAGTTACTGAAAAACAAATGAAAAAGAAGAAGCTATGATGCTGCAGGGGTAGGTGGATAAGTAAGTGGGTTAGATCTGGAAGGAGTTATGGGGGAGAACTTAAAGGTGAATATGATCAAAATACATTATATGAAATTGTCACAGAGTTAATAAAATTATTAAAAAGAAAAAATAAATAAAAGTAGCTAGACTTAATACATGCAAATCAGCAGTAAACTTCTCAGTTCATAGATAGTACATCAGGTATCACTGTACCTCTCTGTATATGAGTAATGATAATATTCCCATTTCAAACAGCAAGATGTTGAGATTAATAAACTCACATATGGTCACGGGGTCAATAAATGATTGTCGTGAGATTTTAGAGCATTCTTGTTTAACTCCAAAATCCCTGTGCAGATTTTCTATGATAAATTCAAGTTTTCCCCAGGCCATGGAACCACAGGCAGAGTCCTCGTGACAGAAGTGCCATCCCAAACAGCTTGCACTTTGATACAAATGCCTCAGAAATATTAAAAAATGGGTGAAATTTGGTGAAGACATTACAGCACTCAATTGCCTGCCGAGCAATCAGTTCTTCCTGGCAGCTGTCTGAGGCTGCATGCTGTCATATTTTATTCCTTAAAGTTATCTGTAAATTGCCTCATAGCCTACCTGTGCACTAACTTCAACAAAGTCCAACCCATGCATTTTGCTCATTGCTAAATTTGATACATGATCAGCCTTCATCGGGTTGTGGTCTATGAAAGTGATTTAGGTGAGGTCCTAATTCTGGCCTCTGCTTGTTCTCCCAGTCTCCATGGTGATACACAGATTCATTCCAAGCACCTTCAGAGGAACTTCCATGAATTTTTTGACACTGTTCCATGGATTCGCCTGTTTCTCAGGGGCACTGCTGGTGGAATTGGTTTATCTCATCTCAGAAGGTAAGAATTCACTCATCATATGCTTATATACACTGAACTCATGACTCGGGAGCTGGGAGACAAAACCATAGGAGAGGGTCTTTGCAAGCATAGTCTTTTTTTCTTAATTGATCCACTTTTGTAATTAAGATAGAATTAAGATAGGAAGTAGACTCTTGCTGCATTCATTAATTTCTGGGAATTGTTTTTCTTTTGATAGGAGGAGGTAATTACAGAATGTCACTTCCCATGAGACAGTGTAGACCATCTTTTGAAAGTGCATTTCAAAGAGAACTGGTCATCATATTCACATTAGGTCTTGTGATGAGGCTCTGTTCAATAATGGCTGGTAGCTATTGAAGACAATGCGGAAGAGTTAGCACCTGCAGACATGTAAGATTGCAGGGCACCCCGTGGCCTACTTTGCTCTCGATTGGCCCCAAATGTTGTCTATACAATCAAAGACAAATCCTAAGGTAGCTAACAAATGATCTGGAAATTCTTCCCAGCAGAAATTTTGGACAGAGAAATAAGAAATATGAAAAATTGAGATGCAAATGTTAAAATATAATCTTAAGTTGGCTTGTGAGTGGAAAAGGCAGGCAGCATGGAAGCCATGATTAATGGCTGCAGGGACATGCCTTTGACTGTATTTTTAAATCGGCCTATCTTAAAATACTATTTTTAAATGTCATTGTACCTTAAATTTTATCTTAATTAGCTTTTGCTTACTTTAAGGAAAATACTATATAGACTTATTCTCTACTTTCAAAAAAATTTATGGTTGTACACTTAAAATAATTTAAGAAGGGGATGATTTGTATTCTCTTAAACAAACAGCTTCAGTTTACTTGCTTTCAGACTATGAAGAAAATAGCCCCTCAGAGACAAATTCAACACAAAGTTCAGAAAGTACTTATCAAGAACCCACTGTGTTCTGGGCACTGTATGGGGTATTGTCATGCCAGGGCTAGCAAAATAAACACTCCCAAGGCCCTAGGAGATTTCCAGTGATTCAGGGAAGCACTAACATCAAGAATGATTAATATAACAGGTTTGGTAAAATCTGCCGATTTTAATTGACTGGTTGACAAGGACAACCCTTCCCTTTAAGTATCTAAGAAAATTAAGCAAAAGCATGTGTGGGGTACTCAATGACTGTGTCTCAAGACCCATGTCACACAGAATGGTGTGCAATATTGTTGTGATTCTCAGAGAACTCAAATCCAAATTGGCAACATTAGCTCCAGAACTTAGAGTGTTTGACCTCTGATGGCTAGTTTAACTGTAATAAAGTATTCCTTTCAAGATTTTATAAATGACCTGAAGAAGTCTCACCTAAACTTGCATCTAAACACTTCACATGCTAAACATGTTTCCTCATTTCATGTTGCTTAATGAAAACAATCCTGAAATTCATTGGCTTTAAAAGATTTCTACAAGGCTAGTATGATGGTTCAGTAGGTAAAGGGGCTTGCTTTCAATCCTGACGATCTGAATGCCATCCTTGGAACACACATGGCAGAAGGTAATAATGGGACAGACTCAATAGGGGCACTAAGAGAGATGCAGAATAAATAAATATACAGATAAATGTACAAAGAGCGTTTCTACAATCAAATCTCATCTGATACACACCAGAAGAACTGCAAAGTCAAATATTATTAAATATTTAATAATAAGCATCTTGCCCAGAGTGAGATCAATCTTCCTCAATTCTCTTCCCAATTCCTGCATGTTATCCACCAGCCACAACTTGGTGCCAGCTATCACTGAACCCAAGTTCATTCAATTACTACTACTCAAAGGGGGCTCAGTGAACAGGAGCAATGGGAAAAACTGTCTCCACGGGCCAGGAAAACGGAGCCTAATGGAGCAGCATCTCCAAAGACTGCCTTAACAGAGAGCTGAATTCCATAGGAGCTGATCACAGCTCAGATGCAGCCACACTATTGTTGCCTTTTGCTAGGAGAAGCCTGCCTCAGCCTCCTGTGTGCTGGGATGACAGACAGGTACCACCACCACACCCAATTTAGGCACTGCTGTGGATTGAACCCAGGGCTTCCTGTCCACCAGGCAAGCCCTCTGCCAACTACTGCATCCTCAGCCCTGTACTTTAAGTTTTCCTGTGCTTTTATTTTGTATTTGTGCATCTGTATGAGGATGAGGTTGTGTGCCATAGTATAAGTGTTATGGTTAGAGGAACGCCCGCAGGAGTCAGTTCTCTCTCTACCACGTGGATTCTGAAAATCAAACTTGAGTCTTGGACTTATTGGCGAGTGCCTTTACCCACTGAGCCCTCTCATAGGCCCCCACCTTCAGCCTTTTTGATTACTGCTTTATTATAAAAGAAGATGCATTCAAATGTACGTAAGGAGAAGCACAAATTACAAGCCTGAGATGCCCTACAACTGAAGATGTTTCATTTAAAAGGACCCAGTACCTGCCCAGCCCATCAGTGTATCATCAAACGAAGAATTCTCCCAGCCCCAAAACTCATTAGACCAAGTTCTCATCATTTTTACTGGGGCTTGGTTAGGCAGGCAAGGTTGGCCAAATCATTGTTAGATACAGTCACCTTTCTCCTTCCCTTCACCCCAATTTAGACATCTAAATTGTGTGATTTATGTTTTTGGTTAGTCAGTTCTATTCTGAGTCATTTCATCACACAAACTGTAACACCTGCCCCCCCCCTCCATCAAGAGTCATCTGTTACCATAAATTAATATGTAGGATATGAGTCACCCACCATGAAAAACAAAGATTCTCTACTCTCTCAAGAAATTTAGAAACAAAAATGTCTCCCAGGAAGCAGAGCTGTCAAAATCTTCGACAAGGTTGTTCCTGCAAACATTTATGGTGTGTGTGTGTGTGTGTGTGTGTGTGTGTGTGTGTGTGTGTGTGTGTAGTATTAATTAAAAAAAGAAAACCTCCTGAATAGATATTGTGTATTACATATACACTCCCATCCCTGTTGCCCCTACACTGCCTTTTCTTACCCCTCCCCCTTCCCTTTTGTGCATTCACAAGAAGTTTGCTTAATAAGCTTGATTTGCTTAATATGATAACCTTCAGCCACAAACAATCCCCAGCAAATGACATGACTCCATTCTTCTTCATGGCTGGCAAGCATCCTGTTGTATACATACACCACATTTTCTTCATCCATTCATTCCCCTGTTGCACACCTAGCTTGTTGACATAACTTGGCTATCGTGAGCCTGCAATAAACATTGATGTGAAAGTGTCTCTGTGGTGTGTTGATTTGGAGTCCTTTGGGTGAATACTCGGGAGTGATAGAGCTAGGTCACACGGTTGATCTATTTTTAGATTTTTGAGAAACTTCCATACTGGTTTCCATGGAGAGCAGACTCATTTATCTTCCCATTAGCAGTGTACAGGATTTCCTGTCTCCCACTGTGGTGGTTTGAATAAGAATGGCCCCCATTGGCTTATATATTTGAATGATTAGTCATCAGAGAATGACACTGTTTGAGAAGGATTGGGAGGTTTGGCTTTGTTGGAGGAAGGGCGTCACTGGGGGTGAGCTTTGAGGTTTCAAAAACCTACCCCAGGCCAGCCTCTCTCTTCCAGCCTTTAGATTAGTATGTAGCTCTTAGCTACTGCTACAGCACCATGTGTGCCGCCATGCTTCCCACCATGATAATACTGGATATGGTGGTTAGAATAGGAATGGCCCTCACAGACTCAAAAGTGTTTGAGTGCTTGGCCCATAGGGAGTGGCACTATTAAGAGGTATGGCCTTGTTGGGGAGGTATGGTCTTGTTGGAGAAAGTGTGTCACTATGGAGGCAGTCTTTGAGGTCTCATATACGCTCAAGCTACTTCCAGTTGTTTCTGCTGCCTGTGAATCAAGATGTAGAGCTTTCAGTTCCTTCTCCAGCTCCATGTCTGCCTGCAGGCTGCCAAGAAGACAATGAACTGAACCTCTGAAACTGTAAGCCAGCCCCAATTAGATGTTTTCCTTTATAAACATGGTGTCTCTTCACAGCAATAGAAACCCTAACCCTAAAAAAATGGACTAAACCTCTGAAACTTTCAGCAAGTCCCCAATTAAATACCTTCTTGTAAAAGAGCTGCTTGGTCGCAGTGTTGATTCACAGCAATAGAACAGTGACTGAGTGTGGTGGTATTGTGTTCCCCAAAATATTATGTACTCCAATAAATGTATCTGAGGTCAGAGAACAGACAGCCACTAGATACAAAGGCTAGAAAATGGTGGCACTCACACCTTTAATCCTAGCATTCCAGAGATAGAAATCCCTCTGGATCTCTGTGA